CACCATCCCACCCCACCCCGAACAAACTATCATTTCAGCGACACCCAGGGTGCTGGGGCCAGGTACTTTGGGAAACATCTCCTTTCCTGGTCTCAGGAAGTGGATTTCAAACTGTTTATGTGGAAAACAGGCTTCCAACATCAGGTACTCTCAAGCGAAATCAAGGACTTCAAAAATTGTCTTTAAACTAAGTTTGTGAAAACGTACACATATATATATGTATAAAATCCCTGATTATAAAAATTGTTCACACTCATTCTAGAATATTTGAAAACTAAAGAAGGAAAAATTTTAAAATCATCCAGACACAACCAACTTTAACAATCTGGTGTGTTTCCTCCCAGTTTTTCCCAATTGCATACATTTCATCCTTTCTTTTCCAAAAACTTGGCATCGGGCTGGAGCTTCGGGTCCCCCTGTTCCACAAACCATTTCCATGTCATCTGGCAGTATTAGTTGGAGCCTCCCTTTAGAAACCTCTTTGGCCGGCCTGTCCAGACTGCATATTATACGTGATCTCATTTCATCGGAGTCCCGGTTTTATGATTGTTTAACAGACAGGAAAATCACCTCCAGATGTTTCATCACTCGCTAAAGGTCTTGGTCACAGTGTCGAGCCCAAGCGTGGCCTCACAGTGGCCTAACTCAGACCTGGCGTCTGTGGATACCCAGAGCTGTTGCAGGCCAGCACCCCTAAAAACCAGACACCCACAACCCTGCACATTATCCTCTCCTGCTGGCCTACACCCCCAAATGCACCAGTCAGTGTGTTGTAATTGGGCACTTGGCCCAATTCCAGTTTTTCATTTTTATCCATAATGCCGGAGAGAACATTCTCTTATACACTGCACAGCTCGATTGAAATTCTGGCTCCTTCTTTTTTTTTTATTTTGTTTTGTGTTTTTGGACCACACCCAGCAAGGCTCCAGGGTTCCTCCTGGCTCTGCACTCAGGAATCTCCTGGCGATGCTCGGGGGACCATATTGGATGCTGGGCATTGAACTCAGGTTGACACGTGCAAGGCAAACGCCCAACCCAAAGTACTGTCTCTCAGCCCTAAAATTTTGGCTCTGTGAGATACCTAGAAGTAGAATTACTGGGTGAAAAGGATTTATCACAGCCAATTTGCTTTCTAGAAATATTACACAAATTTGCCGGCTCTGAATATTTAAAAAAAAAAAAGGCAGTCTTGGGCTGGGGATGTAGCTCAGTAGCAGAGCACGTGCCTTGAATATGAGGCCCTGGGTTTGATCCCCAGCACTGCCAAACCACCAAATCTTTGCTAACTTGACTCGTTTGGTAACTAGGGAAGCTCCTGGTTTTTACATCTGCATTTCTTCTTTTGTAAGCTGTCCCTTATTTCTTGTTTTATGGAGCCATGCTCAGTAGTGCTCAGGGCTTACTCCTGACTCTGTGCTCAGGGATCACTCCTGGCAGGTCTCAGGGGACCATATTGGGTGCCGGGGATCAAACCTGACTCAGCCACATGTGAGGCAAACACTCTGCCCGTTGTACTATGGCTTCGGCTCCCTCCGTTATTTTTCCATGTTTTCTTGTTGCTTCGTAGTGCTGGGGACAAACCCAGGTTCTCCCACTAGAGCCAAGTCAGTGCTTTACTGCTAAACTTCCCCCCGCCTCACCCTTCTTGTCTTCTTTTGACTTTTCCCCCCTAAATTTATAAAGGCCTTGGGTATTAATATGTTAAGGATGTGAGCCTCTGCCAAATGTATTATAAACCTTTTCCTAAGTCTCATTTGGTTTTAGAACGTTGCCTGGAGAGATAGTACAGTAGGTAAGGCACTTGTCTTACACATGGTGACCTGGGTTTCATCCCCGGCATCCCATATGGTCCTCTAATCCTGCTAGGGGTGATCCCTGAGCTTAGAGCCAGGTGTGAACCCTGATGTGGCCCTCAAACAAAGCAAACAAACACACTGGGGCTAGAGAGGTTGTACAGCGGATAAGCCATCCCCAGCCAGCATCCTATGCAGTTCCCTGTACGCTGCCAGGAATAACTCCCGAGTGCAGAGCCAGGAGTAACCCCTAAGCATCGCTAGGTGTGGCTCAGAACCCCAAAACAAAAATGTTGCTTGTGTATTTTTAATGACGTGCTGACTTTTTTTAGGGCTTGCTATGATTTTAGGATTGAATTTGGCAGCAAGCAACTAAGAAGCCAACTCATAGCTACACAGCAGGACTCATTTGTCTGAGCCACCAGGAGGCTTAGGGTTGGTCGTACAGACACCAGGCCTACATGGTGCTCCCGAGGACCTAGCTTTTGTCCTTCTACTTTGCCATGGTCCACAGGGCTGCCTGGGTGTGTATGTTTGTTGCCTCCTGGTTGCAAGATGACTGCTCCAGCTCGAGATTACATCCTCGTCCCGGGTAGGAAGGAGCAAGGTCAAGGCCTGGACTTTAAGCCTGGACTACTGTAAGCACATCCTCCCAGGGCCCGTGGCTACTATCTGCCAGACCAGGTGACATGTCTGCTCCAGCTTCACGGAAGCCGGGACTGTTAAGCAGTTTGCCTTGATGAAGGCAAAGGAGACCAAGTACACGAAGAGCTTTTCTGTAGCAGGTCCCTACTGTCTGCCACATTGCTTTGTGAAGAGGATGGTGTGGAGCTTTTGATGTGTACGCAGTATCTTGTTAGGATGCAGAGGATGACTTAAGTAGGCCTGGGGTACAGGCTGAAATTCTGTATCCCTAGCAGGCTCCCAGGTGATGCTCTTTTATTACCAGGATATAAACCCACCCCAAACTAGCTGCTTAAAGCTTCTCTTGGCTGAAGAGCTAGTTCAGGGGTTAGGGTGCTGGGGAGGGGGGGCGGGGGGAAGGGGTCAACAGCTTGTCCTTGGAAGCTAAGTCGTCCGGTTCAAAGTACATTCTGCTGAACGATGTGATTGCAGCAAAGCAACCTGACCTGTGTTTCGGTGCTATCGCACATGGGTGCTGCGAGGGCTCAGTTCACCCCACCGCCAGCACCTGAAGCTCCCCTGCAGAGGGAGCCCCAGCACCCCCTTTCTATTATGCTTCTGCACGATCCTTATGTTCACCCCCATAAAGCAAGTGTCCAACTTAGGGAGAAATGTACAGGATGACCTGGTGCTGTCAGAGTCCCCGTGTCGTGGCCCATCACTTGGGTGGGGACCTGGCCCCTTCCCCAGGCCAGGCCGTGACAGCCAGCGCTTGGCTTCCCTTCCAGGCTGCGTCAATGATCGGAAAAACCAGCTGAGGCAGCTCTTCCGCTCCCTCCAAGGCCACAAGAAAGCTTCCAGCTAACCTGTGAGGAGAGTGACCGTGGAGGTGCCGGCCATCCTCCGGGTACCAGCAGAGCGCCTCAGATCATGCGCCTCCCTCCCGCCGTGGCCTGGCAGCCACTTTGCTGGTTCAGCAGCAGTTTGGCTGCGTGTTCTGGGGCCTCCACCCCGGCCCCGGGCCTCTCTGCAGCAGGAGACAGCCAATCCCCGGACTGGCTTGGCGCGCGGGTCCGAAGAGGACAATGCAGAGCGGTCCTGCGCCCCCCAGAGCCTGTCTAATAAACAAGCATGGGCTCCACCTGGAGTGACTGGCACGGGCCGAGCTTGGGGGCAGCTGCAAGCAGCAACCATGTGGCCTTGGCTTTGACCTTGTGACAGCCAGCGCTGGACAAGGCGCCTCAGCTATTGACAGGGTCCTTTCAGCAGTGGTTCGGAGGGAACTTACCTCTAGCAGTGACTAGATTACATTTACTGGGGCCCTGGGGGAGACTGAGCCCTGTGCATCCTGTGCTGCTGGCCAATACCCAGTGTGCGGCGTATCGCATCACAGGCTCCTCTGGCTTCCTGCCTCTGAGTACGGGCACTCCACCCCGGAGTGGGCCGTGGGTTCCCTGTTCCCTGGAGAAAGGACCTGATGGGCTCTTTTTTTACCTACCGACTACCCCCGCCAACTTAAACCATGTTCACATGTGGGACCCGTGAGCCAGGTTGTTAAGAAATCATTCACTGAATCCCGAAGCTCGTTTGCAACATGATCACTGTGGCACTGTCACTGTCACAGGGATGTCTGTAAGTGCAGCTTCCATCCTCAGGGAACTGTGTCATATCTGAACTCGTCAGTTATTAGACGTCCATCAGTCCGGTGCTTCTCTCACCTCGGGGTGGGGCGGTCTGCTTCCTGATTGGCGCTGCCAGTTCCCTCAGCCCTGCTACCATAGGTGAGACTTTTAATTTCCACTACTACATGCCCTACTTCTCAGGACCACCACGGGGAAAACACGTCATTTCTACTTGCAAAAACAAACAAAGGGCCCGCAGATAGAGCCAAAGTTGACCTACGTAAGCTATTTTGTTTTTGGCAATCACCCAAGCTTTGCAGCTTTCTGAATGTGCAGTAGTGGGGAGGGGGTTCAGCCTAACGGTCCTGGTTCCCAACCCTGGACCAGCGGCAGGCACGAGCTCCAACACCCTCACCAAGGTTCCCACTCCCCATGTCCCTGCCTGAAATACTTCCATCCAGGCCAGGGACTGCCCGCCTGCCCTTCGTGGATGAGTCTGAAAGGAGCAGCCAGTCCTCAAATAGGACTGGAAGGATGGAAAGGTGTGAACTGCATGTGTTCATTCTGGCAGTTTATTGAGCCCCCAGAGGACACAATTTGACCCTCCGAGCCCGGTCACCTAGGGAGCTGGGACAACTGAAGGCAGGTGGGACTCCATTGGCAAGGCCCTCCCATGACAAGTACAGGGGTGGCCAAGCGGCCCCCACACTCACTTTGTCCGGGGGGCCACTCTGGAAGGGAAGAAGGACCATAATAGGTTCCTGGGGGGCAGTGGGCTCCTCTGCACCGGCCACTCTGTCCTCCCTGAGCCTCTGCTGGGTCCCACTGCCACCCACAGGCCGTGTGGATGCCTCCCTTTTGGAGAGGAATACTGGCACGAGGCTCCCTCTGCCCCCGTCCTTCCCGAGTTCACTGGACAGCCGGCCATTGTCTGACATGCCCACTGCAGTCATACCCACCCCCACAGCGCAGCCCCCACCCATCCACTGGCAGCGGCTGGCGGGCCTGTCAATGGGCCTTGTGTCCAGCCAGGGCAGCAGCCGAACCCGGCTTCCACCAGTCCACTCGCAGGGTTCCAAGCTTGAGAGTCCAGGGTCCTCTGTGACCTCAGCGGGGATGATGGTCCGAGGTTCCCCATCCTCGGTCTTGAGCTTCATCCTTTCAAGATGACCTTGATGGCTTTGAGCTCATCTTGGTTGAGGGGCGTCAGATTAAACCCCTTCAGCTCTGGCTTGCCTGTGGAGGAGGGAGACAATCTGCTCAAGTCGGGCGCTCAGGCCACCACACCCTGGGCCGGGCTGAGGAGGAGCCTCGGGCCCGCCTGGGACGCAACACCTGCCTCTCCCCACACCAGGCTGTTGCAGCCCTGGGCCTCTCTGCGGGAGCTGGACAACCCCGGAAACTCAGCTCGGAGCTCCGGGCCCTGCCAGGCCTAGAACGCAGTGAGCTCGCCCAGGGCTGCTCGTGGGACCGAGACCTAACACTTGCCTCTAGTGTGGCGGCCACCACTGCCCACAGCTTCAGAGCCACTCATATGCCGTCCTGGCCTCGCCCAGCTGGGAAAGACGTCCCTGCCTCACCCTTCCAAGCCCTCCCCAAGGGCCCTTCAAAGGGCTCCCCCCAACCTGCTCCCCCTATTTCTAGCCCTCCCACGCCAGTACCTTGGGCCTCAAAGAGGCGGTTGACCTTCACTTTCAGGCGTTTCCGGATTTTGTCAATTTCTTTATTCAGATGTTCCTGATCTGAAGGAAAACACAAAGGATAAGGTTAGGCTACAGACACGCAGAGGGCGTGAGGGACCCAGCATCTGGAGAGCCAGGGCTCTGAGCACTCGGGAAGGAAAAGGCCTTCAGAGACCAACTGCAGGACCACAGCCAGAGACGGGAGTGGCCTGCCCGGGCCTTTGTGGGCACCTGGCATAGGCTGGCCCTTCCCGGATGGGCCCTCCTCAGGACAGAGGCTGCGGAGGGAATAGCAAGGTTTCAGCTGTGGGGCGGTCACAGAAACTCCCAGCGTCAGAACACGATGGTTGTTAAGACTTGAGGACAGATGCTCCTCCGTGGTCGCAGGCCCTGGAGGCTGGCTCCCCTTACAATCTCCATTCTCAGCTCAGTCTCAGCAGTAGACGTGAATAAAGTTCCTGCTGCCAGGCTCTCTGGTGGCTTTGGGTAGCAACATGACTTGGTTTTATTTATTTTTGGTGCTTGTGGTCACACCCAGCAATGCTGAGAGGTTACTCCTGACTCTGCACTCAGGAATCACTCCTGGCTGTGCTCAGGGGAGCATATGGGATGCCCAGGGATTGAACCTGGATTGGCCGCATGCAAGGCAAATGCTCTACCCGCTGTACTATCGCTCCAGCCCTAAATGTGATGCAGTTCTGCCCAGGAAGTGGACAACCTTAATTTCCCAAATAAGCCAAGGCTGCATGTGGACCAAGCCCCTGCCTTACCCCGTCTGCACATGCACAGGGGCCTGAAGGGACAGACTATCGCGGGGGTGTGCCAGGCGCACATGGTCTGTCCTCAGCAACTGCACTCAGAAGACCGCACCCCTTTAGAGACACGCTACCAGCCGTCACATGGACACTAAGTCCCCCATCACCTGCACCCTCTAACACAATCCCCTTGCGTCGGGCTGTCCAAGCCTGACTGTCCTGTCTGGGTGAAGAGGATAATGGTATAACTCGGATGGAATTGGGAGGGCACCACGTTCAAGTCAGTCAGAGGGAGGAGGACAGAACCTGATGATCTCACTCATCTGTGCACAGACAAAACCAGGGAAAAGGCAGTTGGAGCGATGACAAACCCTTGGCCTCGGAGTGCAGAATTCAGATGGCAGCAGCGGGGTCAAGAGAGGGGACACGAGGCTGGGGGCTGGGAGGGGCTGGGCAATTCGGCGGTGGTAGAGGTGAAGAACCATAAACTATTGTAACCGGGACGGAGAGAGTACAGGGGTGAAGGGACCTACCGTCCATGCAACCAACCCAGGTTCCACCTCTGGCACCACGTATGTTCCCCCGAGCAGTGCCAGGAGTGATCCCTGAGCACAGGGAGGAGGCAGGCCGAAGCACCGCTGGGTGTGGCCCCAAAGAACAACAAAAAGCCAAGGCTGGAAGGGTGAGCAGCCTCACCCCTAAGCCACCCCCCGAAAGCCTTTACCTTTCTCGAGCATTTCCTTTGTCTCCGGGTGAGACATCTTGATAAACATGTTCCCGAAGCAAACCGCCACATCTTCTGAAATGACAAAGGGCCGACTCTTCAACAAAATCATCTCTGAGCACTTACCACTCGCCCTGCAGTATTTGAGAGGCCCACACAGAGCTGGCAGTACAGTGGCGGAGAGGGAATAAGCGAGCAGAGACTCAAGGTGACAGATACTGACGGGTCTGAACACTTAAAGAGGGGCTGGAGAGGGCACTTTCCTTGTACGTGACCGACCTGGGTTCGATCCCCGGCATCTCACATGGTTCCCCGAGCACCACCAGGAGTAATTTCTGAGTTCAGAGTCAGGAGTAACCCCTGAGCATCACCGGTTATGGCCCCCAAACAACAAATAAAACCAAAAAGAAAAAAAGTAAGGTGGGAGAGAACGCCGGTGCCTCTATCAAGAGGGACATATTTGTGCAGGTCCCCAGAGGTCTCTGGATATGTGGCTTCTGAGGGGAAAGATCACTTTCCTACACAACAAGCCAGCACCTAATGGCCTATCACGGGGGCCCGAGTCTTGCAGACGTACGAGGCAGGCAGAGAAATGGGAATGGCACAACTGAGTCTCATGCTTGGGAAGTAAGGACACCAGCAAGACAGGCTTGAGAGATGGGGAGGAGAGAGGAGGACGGAGAGTCCCAGGGGGTGTGGGTCCTACAGGCTCCTGCTTCAAGAAGCAGCTGGAAGCTTCCGAATTCCCCATGCTCTGTGAACAAAACTCTCCCTTCCCCTGGAGCCTCAGGACCTCGGTCATAGCCCGGTCTCTCTTCATCATGGCGCGACCTTCTCCTTGTCGACTGTCACAGCTATCTGGCCTCCTGGAAGGAGGCGCCATCCCTTCTGCCGATGCCCAGCCCACGTCCAATTCCTTCTGAAATGTCCTCCCAGTTTTCAGTAATATTCTTGATTCCTTTTACCCACTTGGGGAACACAAGGACGGGAAAGTGTTTTCCACATCCTTCACCCAGCACCTTCCTACACGACAAGCCAGCACCTAATGGCTGTCACCAGGGAGAGCAGCCGAAACCCTGAGCCACGCTCACACTGACATTCTCCGAGTGGGTTCCTCCACCCGTGGCCTCCGGCTGCTCCCAACCAGGATGACTTTGCCTGCCATGACAGCAAACTGGCCAGGCCTCAGGGCAGCAGTCGGAAAGCCGCGACTTACCGGAGAGGCTGAGATCCCGCTGCAGGGCCCGCAGACCCTCCCGGTTCTGATTCCGTTTGGTGTCCAGGTCCACGATCTGAAAAGCACGGGAGGGCACTCAGTCATCTTCGACCCCAACCTGGCAGCTCCCGCGAGACCACAGGCTGTTAGAATCCAACAGAGCTGAGACGGCACAGGGATTAAAGGCTCAGGCCTAGCATGCTGCCAACCCTGGGTCGAGCCCCAGCACCACATGGTCCCCAAGCATCGCTGGGTGCAGCCCTGGAGACCCCCGGCCACCACCAGGACAGCCCTGGTAATCTCTGGCACTGCAGGGCCCGAACAGCACCACCTCCTCCACGCCTGCACGGAACCACCAGACCAAGAATCTCTGCAAGGGACCCTGGGGCCTCCCAAGCAACGCCTGGGAGACCCCCACACGGCCTGGGAGACCCCCACACCCATTAAAAAAAGAAAAAGCCTGAGAGAAACAAGAGACAGTGTTCCTGGGTTACTTTCTATGTCCTGCCTGTTTCTTCCCCCTGCTCTGTTCCTGGGCTAGAGTGATAGCACAGCGGGTAGGGCATTTGTGCGTGCGTGGCCAACCAGTTTCGATTCTTCCACCCCTCTCAGAGAGCCCGGCAAGCTACCTAGACTATCCCGCCCGCACAGCAGAGCCTGGCAAGCTCCCCATGATATATGTGACATATGTTTGGCTCGATATGCCAAAAACAGTTACAACAAGTCTCACAATGGAGACATTACTGGTGCCCGCTGGAGCAAATTGATGAACAACGGGAGGACAGTGCTACAGTGCTCTGTTCCCAAGTCCAAAAGACTAAGCTTGGTGCCCCACCCCCTCACTGCCCTCTCCAAACAGTACTGGGTAAATATGTGCTCATTAAACCCATCAGACTACTCTAATCCACTAGAAAACAAGGTTATTTCAGAACCACCCAGGCACGGACAAGCTCCTCTGGCTCTTTCTGACCTAGTGGCAGAAGGAACCAACGGCACTCCTGTGGGGGGATGTGTGTGTGTGAGGGGACACAGACAGTTCTACATGACAAGGTGACAATGTGACATTCTCAGCTGGAGAGCTTCAGAGCTGATCCCCAGGCTGGCATCCTGCTGCCTGCTCAAGTTGCCTAAATTCGCCTCTTTTCCCCTCTAAACCCTGGGAACACTCCAGACCTCACAGGTTTGGAGCCAGAAGTCAGCACAGTCTCCGAGGCCCGTCATCCCCAGCACACCTGGAGGCAATGGCCAATGGCTCGTCCCCCAAGTCAGCCCCTTCCCAGGAGGCCCTGAACAATCCCCTCCAGTCTACCTGGAGAGGATCAGTGCCACTCCCGGCACCGCCCGCCCCACCATGGCCCACCCTCCTGCACCAGTCATACCCGTCTCTCACTGTTCCGGGGCAGGAACCAGACACCGGCGCCTGGGTCCCCTCCATTCCGCACCAGAACGATCTCTTAGCTAACAGACCAGCACCTCCGCCTGCCCTTCCTACCAACTCCTTCCCTCCATTTAGAACCAAGGGCCACCTTCCTCCTGCACCTCCATCACTCAGGCCTGTGGTCCTTCCTCTTCTCCCCTCAAGTCCTTGACAGGGGCCCCCAGGACTGCTTTCTGTGGCAAGTAGTCAAATAATCTTCCAACTCCTGTCCAGCATGATAATTCCTAACTATTATCGTCAAGAACTGAGTGTTGAAAGTAGGTAAAGGGATGTACACGATAACCTTTCAGGATCTATATTGCCAATCACAATGCCCAAAAGGAGGAAGAGGAGGGGGAGGGGGAGGGAGAGGGAGAAGAGGAAGAGAGAAAAAGGCGGGGGGAGGGAGAGAGAGAAGGAGAAGAAAAGTGCCTGCCATAGAGGCAGGCTGGGGTGGTGGGGGTGGAGGTATTTAGGGGGTGGTGGGAGGGAAGGGGGGGGACACTGGTGCTGGGAAATGTACACTGGTGGAGGGATGGGTGCTGGAACACCGTATAACCGAAACCCAATCATGAACAGGTTTGCAAGGGTCTATCTCACGGTTATTTAATTTCAACAAATTAAATTGTAACCTGCCCACACGGCAGAGTCTGGTAAACTCCCCGTGGCCGTACCCAGTATGCCAAATACCAGTAACAATGATGGGTCTCATTCTCCTAACTCTGAAAGAGCCTTGAATATGGCACTTTTTAAAAATCTCAGGGCTAGGATGAAGGAGACGTTACTGGGGCCTGCTCGAGGCAATCGACGATTACCAGGATAGTCGTGATCGTCGTGAACAAATTAAAAATAAAAACAACCTCCGAGGCCGGCGGTGAGGGGCAGAGCGAAAGGCCGCGTTCACTCCAAGGGGCCGAATCAAAGTGCTGGAGGGGCGCGGGCCGGGCCTGAGCCCACCTGCCTCCCTCCGCCCGAGACCCGCGTCCACGGCCCTGGACCCACTGGTCAGCTCAGGGCCAGCCGGCGCCGCCACGGGCCCCCGCGTCTCCCACCTGCTGCTTGTCGGCCAGCACGTCCTCGGCGAGCTCCTCCACCTCCGCCAGGTAGCGCAACACTCGCTCCGCCTCCGGGGACAGCATGATGCCGAGTGGTACCCAGAGGTACCCAGCGGCGCAGCCGACCCCGCACTCCTGCGCTGCGACGTCTCGACCCGCCTGCGCATGCGCCGCGCTGAGCCCGCTTCCGGCGCGCACGCGCAGATCTGGGAAGCATGGAGGCGAGTCACCGGAGGGCGGCGCTCGGCGGGCACGAGGGGCGGGGTCTAACTTCGGGGCGGGGCTGCAGCGCCCCCTGCAGGACACAAAGGTACCTTTCCCCTCCGCGAAGACCCAGCGCCCAGCGGCCGGTCACTTCATTGCTCCCTTCCAGGATTTCTTGAGCTTCCTCCGACGATGGGGAAGTTTTTAGGTGCTGAGGATGCGGCAGTCAACGAAACAGACAACTTTCCTCAAACAGCTTCGTCCTAGCTGAGTTACACCGACAATCAATCACAAAACAAAAACTGCAGCGGAGAGGGGCGCTTGCTTTGCACGCACTGGACCTGGGTTCCATCCCTCCGTCACATTTGGTTCCCCGAGCCCTTGGCAGGAGTTACACCTGAGCACCAAAAGCCAGAACAAAATAAAACTATAGGGGCCGGTGCCATAGCATAGCAGGTAAGGTGTTTGTATGCTATGACCCGGGTTTGATCCCTGGCACCCCATATGGTCCCCCAAGCACCACTAGGAGTGGTCCCTGAGCGCAAAGCCAGGAGTGAGCCATCAGTACCGCCAAGTGTGATCCCCAAACAAACAAACAACAAAAAACAAAAACGCAAGACAAATTTGAAATATTATATATAGGGACTAGAGACATTGGACAGGGTTATGCACTTCTTGCTTTTGGTACCAAATATAGTATAGATCCCTGATCACCGCCAGCTGTGACCCCTGAACACAGCTGGGTGTGGAAATATAGAGATAGGTAGGTAGGTAGGTAGGTAGATAGACTGACCCTGGGGTTTGTAGTGTCCACTTACACATGGTTGTGGGTTCCCTCCCTGCAACCATTCCCAGGTTCCACTCTCATTGTTTCAGTGTTAGTTGGTTGAATGCATGGATGCAGAAGCCCATGTGCACATATAGAGGTCTCTTTGTACATGGCAGCTGGAGGCACTGCAGTCGTCACCCTGGTTCCATATCCCCCACCTGTTCAAGGCTCAGCAGTTCCATGGCAGGCACCAACCGGGCTCTGGAGAAATGCAAACCACGCCCTCCCCCCCATGTTAGAGTCCACCAAGACCTAGTCCACCAAGGAGGTCCACGAATCATTCATTCTGATATGGTCAATGACCAGCTCACAGAAAGGGAGTAAACAGTCCCACCATGCGGCTCAGATTGTCTCTTGGCAGGGTGGAAAGGGAGCAGGGAACTTTCAGAGGCTTGTCTGGCCGCATCCATTCTGATTCTCCTCTTGGTGACCCAGGGAACAGGCCCTTTTATGCCCTCTTTCCTTCCTCGAATTCCTCAAGCACCTTTATGACGCAAGTCATTCCCGTCTCACTTCTCAGCTGCAGACAGGCCCGGGAAGGCTAGAGAGCCTGCGATACGTGGCAGCAGAGGCAAACATAGGTCTAGAAGCTTCCATCTCACGGTCTCCATATCATGGCTCTAGACCCTAGGAGGAAACAGCCCTTCCCCAAATCGTGGCCTCAGACGTCCCCGAGGCTGTGCTGCTCACGCTGGCCTTTGACTGCCGTCAGCTGCCAGAGACGACACTCATTTCCCCCGCAGCCGCTCCATGTGGGGAAAGAAGGAGATTCATTAAGGATTCTTCATTGAGGGTGAATTTGTCGCCAAACCCAGGATGTTTTGTGTAAACACCTTCTGGTTCAGAAAAGCAGACGGGCCCTGGAAAGGAAAGGGGAGCGTTTGCTAAGGAGACACAGACTCTCCAGGCGTCCCTGCAGCCTGGACCCCCAGGACTGGGTCTCCTCTACCTTGGGGCCCAAAGAAGGCTGGACCAGGCTGACCCCTGACCTTTGCAGAGAGGCCTGAATGGGGTGAGGTTAAGGGAAGCTCCTATATATTTCTTTTCCATTTGAACAGCTTTTTTTTTTTAATTCCCCCTTACATCTTACTGTGTAAACACTGTGGTTTACAAAGTTGTTCATGATTTGTTACAGATATTCCAATCCCAATCTCACTGCCATGGCACCTTCCCTCCACCATTGTCTCCAATTTTCCCAACCATCCCTTAAGCGGGGCCCCATCAACTCTGTCTCTGAGCTGGCTGTTCAAGGACACGCCTGCAGAACCCCTCATAACACAGTGGTGTCTCTAGAGGCTGCTGAAGGCAGTTAAAGGTCACTGTGAGCGAGGGGTCAGGCAGGGCTGACACCACATGTTGTCACCGCCCGGGACTGGAGTCAGTCTGACCTGTCAGGACTCTTAAATTAGAGCCACTTATATTTCTGAATTGCCTGTTTTATAGATATGTACTAACTGCCCTGGCTCTGTTTCATAGGCTATGAGCAAGGCCAGACATAGTCTTGCTCAGAAAGCTTCTGATCCAGTGGGAGGATGGTAAATAAAAAAAAAAACACCATTATCATGTCAGGCAGTATACTAAGTGCTGTGGAGAACAAGAGTAGGACACAGCAGAGAGAGAAAGATGAAAGTGGTCCCAGAGGACTTCTCAGAAGAGGTGGCATTTGAGCAGAGATGTGGAGAAGGTGGTGGGTGGCACATGCCTCTCTGGAGAAGGTGCTTCCAGGCAAAAGGAACAACAGATGCAAAGGCCTTGGGGGGAGCCTTTGTTCGGCCAACTGGAAGAGCAGTGAGGCCGGTGTAAGTGGAATGAGCGCACGAGGGAGACATGTAGGGGAGGAGGTGAGAAAGGGAAGGAGGTGTGGAACACATGAAGCTCTAGAAGGAGCCACAGGTGGCCCAATCCATGGGCATGGCCCTGGGGCATGCCTGCAGAACATGCTGCCCAGGCCCATGGCTTCCTGCCTATGCCTACCCATGGGTACAGGGGGTGAATACATATTGTCCAGGGACTATCTGCAGGAGGACCCCTCAACAGAGAAGAGGTGGCAGCAGGTGTCCTTGCCTCAGAGACCCTCTGCCAGCATTTTTTTCCTCTCCCATACTCGGTGGTGCTCCCAGCTTACTCCTGACTCTGTGCTTTGGGATCAATGCTGGACAGTGCTCAGGGGACCTTATATGATGCTGGGATCAAATCTGGCAAGTGGGGCTAGAGCAATAGCACAGCAGGTAGGGCGTTTGCCTTGCACACGGCCAATCCGGGTTCGATTCCCAGCATCCCATATGGTCCCCCGAGCACTGCCAGGGGTAATTCCTGAGTGCAGAGCCAGGAGTAACCCCTGTGCATCGTCGGGTGTGACCCAAAAGGAAAAAAAAACTGGCAACTGTCCTATCTGCTGTACTATGGATTCGGTCCTCTGCCAGCTCCACTATCTCTCCATAGGAGGTGACATGCTTCCTTCTTACACATGGCATCATTCCCCACTCGGTTCCTCATCATCTCCATTCCTCATCGTCACCCGGGGCAGGACCTTGTCTGTCTGGTCTGCAGCTAACTTCTGAGCCCAGCAGCGTCAATAGCAAGTAGAACTTGCCTTATTATTATTTTATGTATTTTTTATATTGACTGGAGTGATAGCACAGTGGGTAGGGCATTTGCCTTGCATGCGGCCAACCGGGGTTCGATTCCTCCACCCCTCTCAGAGAGCCCGGAAAGCCACCAAGACTGTCCCACCCGCACGACCGAGCCTAGCAAACTCCCCGTGGCGTATTCGATATGCCAAAAACAGTAACAACAAGTCTCACAATGGAGACGTTACTGGTGCCTGCTCAAGCAAATTGATGAATTGATGAACAACAGGAGGAGAGTGGAGAGAGAGAGAGAGAGAGAGAGAGAGAGAGAGAGAGAGAGAAAGAGAGAGAGAATTTATTTTTAGTTTGGGGACCACAGCTGGTGGTGCTCAGGGATTACTCTTGCCTCTGTGTTCAGGGTTCACTCCAGGTGGAATTCAAGGGAATATATGGGGTTTGGGGCAGCGAACAAATTCAGGTCAGCTGCATGCCAGGCAAGTGCCTTACCTGCTGTACCATCTCTCTGGCTCTGATTGTAGCACTTTCTATCATTCTCCATGATCCCACATGAGCAGCTCTCTCCAGGGCCATGAACCCCCCATCCTAGAAGGAACACAACCCAGCCCACCACAGGTGGGGCACAGCAGAGATTGGTCCCTACTGGTTCTTTCCTAATTACAAAGCCTCTTCCAGGGCACACTGGAGTGTGGCCCTCATCTTCTACCCCACCCCCAGCCCAGATCTAAAGGGACATGGTTGCTAAGGATTTAGTTGGGGGGGGGGCAGGAAGGAAAGGGGTCCTAGAGCAAGATGTGCCACTATTGCCCTGAAATCCTCCCTTTTTTAAAACCATTTTTCCAAGCCCCCAAGTGCTCAGGAGCCATTCTGCACTTCTCTCCCCAGGGGATACTGCTGCAAAATAGTTCCTGCTTTCCCCACCTGGTTTGAGCTCATCACATTAGGGCTATGCAAGCCCACCTTCTGGGCTGGGCTGGGGTAGGAAGTGAGTGACCGGTTCTGCAGTACCATAAGCACTCCTGGAGTCTGGGTGAGATAGCTCAAAGGGCTGGAGCACCCGCTTTGCGTGTGGGAGGCCCCACGTTCCATCCCTGACACCCTGAGCACCACTGGAAATGCCCCCCAAACACTACCGGGCATTGCCCGGCTCCCCAAAGACTTACACTCGAGGGTTCCCTGAGTCAGGCTGCAGGGGTCACCTCAGGTCACCCAGAAGCCCTGTCTGGCCCCTCCTCAACCCTGTGTTACCTCCCCACCATGAAATGATCAAAATCCTCCAAGTGAATCTTCCTAACTCACTAGCAAAATCAAAATCCTCACTGAGGCCCACAAGGCCTTGTCAGACCTCCCCCACCTCGCTCCTGCCCCCTGATGCCTCTACAGGACCTTGGCACTTCCCCCTGGTGCTTACGTGCCCCTCTTGCCCACCTACAAGGTTTTGTTTCAGTTTCATCTTTCTGGCCCCACCACACACACACACACAC